TTTTTTTTTTTTTTTTTTGTCATTTCATCCTCCATCCCCATTTCCTTTTACCTCCTATTTCATTACCCACCTCCATCCCATTAACGCTTCACCTCCCAGCTTCGTGTTCCTGTCCCCTCCCCCCAAACCCACTTTTGCAACATACCGCCGCCTAGAGTAGGGGTAGAAGTCTGTCCTGGCTCACCAGTCCTCTAGTGTCAACTCACAGCTGTAGTTCCCAGTCAAGCTTCTGCTTGTATGCCCTCTAGTTGCAAGTCACAAATGTGCAGGTTGGGGACTGTCAAGAAGGTTTTTAGCTTGAAGGCAGCTGCTCCAAACTTGAGCTAGCACTAACACCAGTCAACATTTCAGCAGCTTGAAGTGCAGTGCGTAACAGGGCCCTGATAGTTTATTAGTCTACACGTGTTGGAATTGAATGTGGGTCTGCGTCTCCTGACTTCTAGCTTATGAAGCTCTTTCTATAGCTGAATCCATCAATGTTAGAGCATTTAAAGGCCCTATAGTATCAATACTCCCAGAGTAAGGGGCTCCATACAGTCCCCCACAAGGACAGTGGTCCTCAGTGTCATGTAGTCTTTCACTTCCACTAAATGTATCAAAGTTTTGACATGAGTATGACAACTCTTTCACTCACCCACATGGGCATGGTAGTATAGTTTTGCCACTTTATGTACTTTAACGTATTTAGCACTGCCTTGCAAAACTTTAACTCCAGGAATGGATTGGAGACAGACCAACTATTAGACATGCATGCAAAAAATTATTGATGATTATTTTTTCCTTTGTTGTAACTAGGCCATATTTAGTGAACCTGTTGCCGTGTTTAACACGAATAAGTAAGCGGCCTGAAGAATCTGTACAAGAGACGTTAGCTGCAGCAATTCCAAAAATCATGGCTGCATTTGGCAACTTTGCAAATGACAATGAAATTAAGGTAAGATTATTTAAACTATTAATTTACATTGCATCTGATACGCCAAGTGGTGGAGTTATTCTGTCAACAGTAATATTAGTTAAATGTTAGAGTGTAATGTAACAGCTACCATATGTAAATAGTTAAAGCAAAAATACTTGCACAGAAGATGGTGAATGATCTCTGTTGCTGAGGGTTGGACAACAAATCATTTGGTTTAAATGGGAAGGCAGATTTGGGTTAAAGCTTGGAGAAAAATTTTGTAGAATTTTGAAGAAGAGCCTGGGTCAGTGTGTTTGGTGGTGGTTCAGTAAAGCCTGCCTTGATGCAGCAGTTTAGACTGGTTGACCTTACAGATCTGTTCCAGTGCTACCATTTTCTGATTAAGGCTTATGGAAGGGAAGCAAGGTAAACTTTTCCCTTTTGATGCTTTAAAATTTCCTGACTTCTGCTGCTTTTTTTCCCCATATGAATATTGGTTTAATTGTTCATAATAATTTTAGGTTTTATTGAAGGCCTTCATAGCTAATCTTAAATCCAGTTCTCCTACCATCCGTCGGACAGCGGCAGGATCAGCAGTGAGCATCTGCCAACATTCACGAAGAACGCAATATTTTTATGCCTGGCTATTGAATGTACTTTTAGGTAAGATGCAGGAAAATGCTTTTGCTTTCTTGAGACATGAGCACTCCTGGGGGAAATAGGCTGGACAAGTGTCAAAGTAAATCATTAGAGTAATTAGTTTGTGTAAGAGACTCTTCAGATATTAGAGGCAGGTGGGTAAACATAACCTGCTTCTTAGGTGTTGCCAATTCTGGTTTTATGGTATTATAGCAAATTGGATTGACATAATGAAAATCCTTTTAAGTATGTCTCATCACCTTTTGCAAAGGATACTTTTTAAAATCTAGAGCCATCTGTGGGGATTGGCACCTCTTTGCAAAACAGAAAAATGAGATGGAACATCTGGAACTGAAGTTTGAGGAGGAAAACATGCATTTAAAGTGAAGTGAAGGAGCCAAAATTGAATGTACATTTAATCAGAAAAGAATAACTAGAATAATTAAAATAATTATACTTAGCCTTTTATGAAAGTTCTTAAACAAATCACTGTTAAGTAGTTGTGCATAGAAAACATATGGCAAACACTGACTATCAAACATGGCAGGGTATTCATTTGAGTCATTGCAAAGTAATTTTCAAAGCAAGGGGAGAGCAGGGTGGCTTGCTTTTGGGATCTCAGAAGGCTTACAAAATATGTTTGAAATCATGGCTGTGCAGCAGAAGTGAGTCACTGATGTAAAATGTCCTTGACTCTTTGCCTGGAGGATGTAAACTTGATTTTCTTGTTCCCTTTTCCTAATGGATGCTTGTGGTCCTTGTACCATACTCCCTTGTCCACTTTTTTTAAAGAGAAATCAAGCTTGCAGATCCCACTCATCATTCCTGATTTAGATAAATGTAACCCCACCGTTTTTTACTTTTGTGTACCTGTGGTGATTACATTTTTCTATTTTAACTGTGTAGTTAGGTTGCACCTATAATTCTTTTAGAAGAATTCTGAATCTTTTGCTCCATATACAATAGTACATAGTTATCATAAAATGCTTACCACCTCCTCCAGTAGCCATGTAGTGCTTCTGTGAAATGTTTTGTTGGTAGGATCATGGATTTGGTATTAAATTGCTCTATTTTATAGATTACTAGATTCAAAGAGGAGTGTGTATTAATGATCTTATTCCAGTTTTTGGCAGAAGAGCTAATAGTTTCAATAACCCTTGGAAGCTTGAGTTGACTTTTAAGACCTAACAAGGTTTCTGTAATTTATAAAATGGTAGTCTTGCTGGGACTTTAATCTGGAGTTTCCTAGCTAGAGGGTCTTGCTTCTCCACTTGGCATCAGACCAATTGCTTCCATATTTGGGATTAGCAAGGAATTTTACCGCTGGTCAGATTGGCATGGACTATGGGGTTTTTTGGCTTCCTATATAGCAAGGAGCATGGTCCTCTTCAGGATCTTCAGGTGTATTTTAAGTAAACTAGATCACCTTTTCAGTGTTAGGGCATTGACCATGCCTCCGTCCCCCTGCATTACCTGTGGCAAGTTAGGGGTGATCTCGATTTTGGTTTTGGAAATGGTGCCTCGTAGCTGCATGATGGGGTTACTTGTACAGTTTTGTTTGAAATAGGTTAGATGGATGTTTTGTATAGGATAGTTTAGCTACGGATGATCCTACCTTGAGCAGGGGCATGGATTGATTTGATTTTTGGAGGTCTCTTCCAGCCCTACTTTTTCTATGATTTTACATCTTGGTACACTGATTTTAAGAAAGTTATGTTAATTTAGTGATGTACTTAACTGGAAAGGGGAGGTGTGTGTGTGGGGAGTAGAAAACAAAACCGTTTTTACTAAGACTGTCAGCTATAGTAACTCTTTTTTCCCTCCACCCTCCTGTCCCCTCCTTCAGGTTTGTTGGTTCCTGTAGAAGATGAGCATCCCACTCTCTTAATTCTTGGTGTATTACTCACACTTAGATATCTCATACCTTTACTGCAGCAGCAAGTAAAGGATACTAGCCTGAAAGGTAGCTTTGGTGTAACACGTAAAGAAGCAGAGATTTCGCCTTCACCAGAACAGCTTATACAGGTATGAGTTGCCATAGCTCTTTCAAAGTATGAAGTAACTTAAAACCAGATGTTCTTATAATGTATACTGAATACATTTGTCGTATAGGTAACAGTTTAAGTTTACTTTGTTAGTGTTGTTCTGATGATTGATTATGTCTGTGACTGGCAGATTTAATATTAAAGAATAAAATGTTTTGTAGGGGTGATTAATAAACCAAGTACAATACAGTTGTTTTCAGCCTTGAGTTGGGGTACCCCTCCACCACTGATTTTGAATGTGCTTACATCCCCAGTTGAGTCACCTTTGCTACTGCTTCACCTTACTTCACAACCAAGTTATGCCGCCTTCAGATACAGTTGCTCGACACCTGCTATACAGCCAGCCTGGGGAGGGCTGTGGCACAAGTGCACAGTATTGCCACATTAGGACCCTGATCAGCCTAAAGCTGGCAGAAGCTGCCTTTTGCTGTAGCCTTTCCCAGTGTGGCTCCTTTTGTGCTTCTCCCAGAAGTGGAGGTAGAACACCCTCAGGTGCCTCTGAACCCCAGGCATAGTGTGGGTATAGGGGGGCTTACAGCTAAATCAGCTTCCGCCTCCTTTAGGGTCATCACAGACGTAATGCAAAAGGGCTGCTGCCATGGGACACTTGAGGGGGGGGGATGGTGGCACCCTAGTGTAGTGGTAATGATTATTATATATTACTGAACTTACAGGAACTGATCTTACAGAAACATTATCGTAAACTCCATCTTCTGCTCCAAGTGCAAGGGGCCCTTATATCTGTGTATCTATACATATATTCACAAAAACAAAATGCCAGTTGCACACCTAGATTTTCCTTTTGGAAAAGGATAGCTTCTAGGAGTTCAGCAGCATTAAGCAGTTCAGAAACCATGGTGAAGAGGGTAGCCTATATAGACTAGAACTAAGATTTCTTTCATTTCTAGGTGTATGAATTGACTTTGCATTACACTCAGCATCAGGACCACAATGTTGTGACTGGAGCTTTAGAACTATTGCAGCAACTTTTTAGAACACCCCCTCCTGATCTCCTCCACGCTCTGACCACTTTGGGAGGCATTGCGCAGGTCAGTGTATCCAAAGATGAGTCTAGCAGCAGGAGCCGCAGCGGAAGCATAGTGGAACTTATAGGTAAAGTATAATTCTGATGTCTCTCTAAGGTCAGCATATGTTGTTGGCTATTCATAATTTGTCTAGTCATTAAGAAGTTTAAACCCTTATAAAACTCTGTATGGAACTTTATATAACTTTTTTTTCAGTATCACTTCTGTAAATAACCAGTCATCTCCAAAAGCATAAAGAAAGATGTTGAGTTTGGGTCAATCACAAGTACAAAATAGACTACACTAAGATTTTTTTTTTTTTTGCCTACCTAAAAGGTACAAGAGTTGCACGTTAATTGATCAGTTAATGAAAAGGTTGATATTCTTTTAGCAGTGTTTTGTAAGGCAGCTGTGATGCATAGAAGGCTGATCTTGATAAAATCTAGAATAATTTTGAGTTTGTTGTCAACTGTGTAGCTATAGGAATCAAAATCGCTGTGAGTGCAATCCATAACTGTTAAGCTTGTTTGTTACTTCGATTAATTTTTTATATTCTTGCCTATACAGTGCATGGCCTTTTTAATGTATGTATATATAAATTTAAGTATTTGCTTAACTGCTACTTAATTTCTTCAGATCAAAATATTTAATCCCTGATTGGATTGCTTTTAAAAACTCTTTATGTTGGACTAACCTTCTATCATTAGACAGAAAAAGGAACATTCTGATCTGTTATAAATAGGGACCTGTTTAACTCCTGGTGGAAATTCATGGCACAGTAGCACCTTGAACCTTGCTGTTTTTGACGTGTGCCCCTTTCCCCCAGTTGCTGAGTGGCTGAGAGGGAGTTAGTACCTCAGTTTTTGCCACTCAGCAGTGAAGAGAGGCAAGATTCAAGGTGCCACTGTGCCACAAACTTCTGTTGCAATTTAGGTAGATCCCTAGTTATAAATTTGCTGCTATTAAAATGTAATTTATTAACCAAGGACAGTTCAAACCATTGTGTGGTGGTAAAAAAATTATATATAACTCCAGTTTTACTCTCATGGAGTGTAACAGAGCAACACTGAAGTGCAACATCTAGAGAGGGATTACCAAACAAGAACTGGACGCCTTAAAAGCATAATGTTTCTCACAACTTCCTGGCATAATATAATTTTCTAAGGCTTTTGAGTCTATTTAAAATTCCACTTCCATTCAGCAGCTCTGTTCTTTACCTTGATTTGTTACTTTCTGTGATTTGCAGCTGGAGGGGGTTCTTCATGCAGCCCTGTTCTTGCAAGAAAGCAAAAAGGTGATTATTTTCAAAACTACCATCTCTTCATCACATTCCTTTATGGGTTTTTTTCTCTCCCCTACCCCCTGCTCTTCATTATCCTGTTAAACCTTGATCCCTGTTCACAGACTCACTCTTGTTTGCACCTGGGCTTGAAGAATGTGAGTCTTGTGAAGAGAACTCTGCCAGTGTTTCTAATGTTACAACCAAGATATGGTAAAGTTGCTTAAAAAGCAGGAATATTTTTGCTTTTCTTGTAGTTTGGCAGAAGTGCTTATATCCCTTTCAATTTTAAACAGCAGTTTTAAAAAAATAATTCCTTTAAACAGGGCCCTGATCCCTGTTTGACAGCACCTTGAATTACACTTGCACAATAAGTAGTTTTCCAACTTGTTAGTTAGGCTGCGCTTGCTTTTCTGTCTTTAATGTTACTTTCCTCCACTAATGCATGCGTATGTATTGCATATTTTGAAATGTTACATGTGGTCTGCTCTGATCTGTCCTGTGATGATTAATACCAGTCATTTGTAGCTTGCTGTCTAATCTTGATCTTTTTCCATCATTGGATAATATGTTTTGAGGTCTTAGCATTAAAGAGCTGCTGTAGCTCCCATCTTGCATCAGAATACAGTAGGACTAACTCCTTCCTTGCCTGTGCCAAATTCCATTGATTTCATTAGAGCTCTGCATGGGTGCAGAAAATCTGTGCTAATGGATTCCGGTATAGAAGGGGAGAGAGGGAGGAAGGCATTGAGTGGAGGAAATGAATTTGCATGGATTGAACTGGGATTTTTACAAGCCAGTGCTGCCTCTGACTTGTATTAAACTTAATTACAAAGCCTAATTTAGGCCGTTCCAAATATGGTAGTCTCCCTTTCCTGTAATTAATGGTTTGCATTCTTAAAAGCTACTGTTATAAAGAAATATTGTCACATGATAAGCTGATGTTGGTGAGTTAGTGAAATGGATATTTGGGAGATAAGGAGAATCTTGTACTGATTTCGCTCTAGGAAAGCTCAAAAGGCAGATCTGGTTGTTTAGAAAATATAAATCTATTTCTATACCAGTCTGGAAACTGGTGTAGATTGCTGTAAAAATAAGGAATAACACACACACCTATGTCAGCAGAGGATGGTAATAAAGTATTGTCATTTTCAGCCAGTCTTAAAACAAAAGTTGATTTTTACTAATAAAGGTATAGATTAAAAAGAAAGGACTTTTAATATCATAAACCGCTCATTCACTTAATTGTAAACGCATCTTCCACTGTAAAGTAGGATAATTTTTTCCTGTGTGTGTGTAACAGCATAGAGTAAACCTTATTGTAGAATTTTGATTGAAACTTTGAAGTTCTTCACATGTACAGGATTTAAATTTAATGTTCTTACTGAATAATTCATGAAGAAAGTGTAATCTAATTATCCTAGTTCCTATATGATATATTCATGTTTTTAGAAGAGCTGAGAAACAGAAGCAGTTTGCTTATAAAAAAAATATTTCCAGTATATTGTCATATATAACTGTTTAGCAGTGAGGTTACTCCTCTCCATGAGTAGGTGTGCAGGGCTCTAGGCGTGGTAGCCTTTGATCCTGTCCTCAGCACACTGTAATAATCTCTACTCTTCTGGTGTTGCTTGTGAGTTGCCTGTAGTCGGTTCATAAGACTAAGAGACTTTTTCTAAACTGAAGCGTGGATTCAGGACTACAACTGTAATCAAATGACATTTTTCTGACTGCTTGTATGGCCTTACCTTATAGTACAAAGTAGCCTTATTAAGTTGATAATAACTTTTGTTTTGTGATCCTCTTTTCACACACTTTTAGTGTTGACTGGCTGTGGAGATTGAAGTGTACTCTTTGACTTCTTTAGGGGGTCTAAATATATGAAATCATGCAAAAGAAAGTTGTCTTGTGTTTTTTTTGTGTTTTGTTTTTTTGGCTCTTAATAAGACTCTTATCCTTTCATGGTATTATGCATGACATTGTCGCTGATAGTTTGACTGGTCTGTGTCCTATAGAGTACCGTTCTGGTTTGGGAATCTAACTCAAAGAAGGGAGCATGTTGAATTTCTCAAGAAAAAGGTTGTTTCCCAAATCTTATCAAGATTTAAATTAAATGAGGTTTTAAAACAAATCAAATTTTTAAGCACTCTTGTGCAAATCAGATGTTGCTTATTCCTCATTTGCTTCTCTTGTGATGTCATCCCAGTCGTTTTGATTTGCTGGAGAACTGGACAAGTCCAAACCTGATATTTCTAATGCGTAAACCAAGCCCCCAAATATATTTTGTGTCCTGAAGAAACAAAAAAAGACAACTTTTTTCCCTCCTTTTTGCCTATTTTGGTTGCAAATATAATATAACATGTTCTTTTGCTGCAGGAAGTAAACATATTTAGCTACTTTCTGGTTAGATGTCCAAAGGTGGTGGTGATTGGGGGACTTGTTTGTTTAAAAAAAATCATAATCCCTTCCCTCCTAACACAGTTCAAACAACTGAACAAGGAATAATGGCCACAAGATGTTGGAGAGTAGGTTTAGATTAGACATCCGTAAGAACTACTTCATGGTCAGGGCGGCTAGGAGCTGGAACCAACTTCCAAGAGAAGTGGTGCTGGCTCCTACCCTGGGGGTCTTTAAAAGGAGGCTTGATGCCTACCTAGCTGGGATCATTTGAGCCCAGTTTTTTTTTCTTTCTCCTGCCCAGGCAGGGGGTCGGACTTGAAGATCTGTAAGGTCCCTTCTGACCCTACTTCTATGATTCTATGAACTTCAGTATTGTATCTGTCTTGTAAGGAATAGCTGGTTGTTGTAGCTGTTGTTATTTTTATGGTACTGTACAATGGCATAACTCCATAATGCTACCAACTGAATATTGTTTTCTGGGTTTTTTCCCTCTCTTCTCTAGATTTTGTTTAGTCCTAAATTTTTTTACATTTATGGAAAAAGAAAATTCTGTAACTGTTTTACTACAAGTGTTAATGTCCTGTAGGGAGAACAGTGTCATTCAATGCAGTCTTATGATTGCAACTTAAATGCAAAATAACTATCAGACTATCTAACAAACCCTTTGATACATGTCTCATGACCGATTTCAGGTTACTACTTTGGTTTTAAAGTATGTAGCTATAATAAATGGTATATGTAATAAGAGCTGCTAATACTGTTATCAAAATATTAATTAACATGTCCTCTTTAAATGTGTGATTCTTCATACGAAGGTATGGCTAGACATATTTTCATATGAAGTTAGATGCACTGTATTGTTTAAAGTGAACTCACTCTTGTGAGTCTCCTTGGGCTGCTGTTTCGGTCCAACCTTAGACCCGACATGCTAGAACTAGATGCAGCATTGTCTGCACATGGCCTTCAGTCAACTCTGGGGCAGAGTTTCCTGTGCTGCTATCCTTTTTTGGGATGTGGAGCCCTTTTGCCGTGCCATCCTAGGTGTCCAAATTAGTACAGACCTTCCAAGGCTGTCTTGTAGCTTTCACCTTCTCCAGAGCACAATTCTTGTGGGTACTTGGGATTACCTGCTGGGATTCTGTGAGAATTACCAAGTCTGTGTATGTACTTTAAAGGACCTGGCCTGTGGTCTAGAAAGGCTAGGTAGAGATTGTTGTCATTATAGCAGTAAGAATAATATTCTCAGGATAGTTCTAGCATGGACACAGTTTTTATGCTGGCAAAACTGCTCTTTCCAAGACCAACTGAATGAAATAAGTCAGTGGTTCTCAACCAAGGTCCTACAGCATTCTGCCAGGGCTGTCATGATGCTGTTGCAAGAGCAAGAGCTTCCCGATCTGGCTCTGCAGGAGGCACACAGCTCAATTCCATTTGGCCATGGTGGCAGTGGTAGTGGGGTGAATATAATATAATAATTTAATCAATTCACAATGTATTGGTTAATATTATCATTATAATGTTTATAGTATAATATTAGTTATTTTAATGAGGTGCTGTTAAATTCTGAAAAGTTTTTAGACTCTAGATGCCTTCCCAAAAAGGTTGAGAACACCTGAAATAACCTGCACATTTTATGTAAGCAAAGCTCTACAGATAGGCATCTGCTCTAAAGCTTTGTCCATTATAGCTGCCTTAGGTCAGGTATCATTGATGCTCCTTAACTTCTAGTCATAGCTAGTTTGATTATAGTGTGGACTTAGCTATAGACAACCATTGAAAGGTACAGATCTTTGGAAACTCGTGTAAAGCTTTTCCTATGTTTTTCATCTTTCCCATGAATTCATTGCGTCTTTAGTGACAATTCTCCAAAGAGACTCTTTCCACTTCCTCAGTCTTGTCTTCTGGTTTTAGCCTGTTCCTTCTTTTGAGAGTCACCATTTTAGTGGTAGATTCAAATATCTTTGTCTCTTCATGTCCTTCATCTGCGGCTTTTTTATATTCTGTAATCCTCTAACCTACCATTTGAACACTGGATAAGAGAGATTAGTAAATCGGTAGTCTTAGTTTGTCAGCTTCTACTGCTGTATTTAATGCAAGGCTAGTTAATTGCCCTGGAATGGAGGCTACACTTAGAGGTGAAGGTGTGATGGGATCTAAAGTGTGATCCATGCAGTCATGCCTCCTGCTGTGCCACATTCTGGGACTGCGCATTAGAAACTATTGCCCCTTATTACCAATCCTGGGCTCCCCCTGCACTGGCAAGAAGCAAGCTCCTACAGGGGAGCTGCAGCTGCTCAAGTCTCTGTCATGTGGCTCTGCTGCAGGTGGGAGATTTGCAGCAGCTGCAACACTGGGTCCCATAGCTGCTATGATCCCCCAGTTGTGGGGGTGCACTATGTACCACCGCAGCTGGGAGACTGCAGCAGCTGCAGGGACACTCCATGCACCCCAGGGCTGGGAGATCACAGCCACAGGGCACAGTTGGGACCCAGCCTTCTGCAGCTGTGGATGCTGAGTCACTGGCACTGTGGGGTGCTGCTGGGAACAGAGACAGCAGCTGCAGGACTCTGGGTCCCAGATGCTGTGGAGTGCTGCCAGACCCAAGAGTCCATAGCTTCTTGGTGCTACTGGGACCAAGAGTCCCCTCACTGGTGGGACTTCTAGCCCCAACTGAGTATTGTGCATCCCTGTAGTTGATGGGGCTCCCAGCCTCTGGGGAGATGCTGCTACATGTGGTAATTTAAAAGCTGGATAGCAACTGGCAATAAAGATGGTACACACTTTTGAGATGTAAATTTATGGTTGGTTGGACCTTTTTATGGAGTGATAGCTACTTTGCACGTGTAGGTGGTCTCAATTAATTGTGCAGTTAAACAATTAATGGCACAATAATTGTAATGTGTAGGGGGCTGAAGAGAATGTGAAGGCTGTCAGCAGATTTTGGCCCCCTTCCCCAGCACAAGAATTATAATGTACAGATAAAATGAAAGGAAACAGTAGGGGGCTTAAACGTCTAGCTAGAATTCTTAGTGTTATAGATTCCCAAACTTTCACACAAATTAACCTTCTTTTTCCGTCCTGTTCTGACCGCATAGTGTGATCTCTTCTCTTTCTTTTCTCTCTAGCAATTTTGTATTGCATAACTTAGCATTTAAAAAGATAAACAGGTTAACATACTTTAAGAGGTAGAGATTTTAACTCTGACTTCCAGTGCTCAGAATGCTTCGAGACTATTATTTTTAAAGAAAACTTAAATGTCATTGATGCATCATTTATCAGGTAAAGTGCTTCTAGGAGAAGAAGAAGGTTTGGAGGATGATCCTGAAACACGGTCTGAGGTCAGCACCACAACATTTACTGGTAGGTGTGCTGTCTCTTTAGCAGTAGGATTAACTTAATTCTGCACATCAGCCTGGAGTAGTAAATAACTCTGTCCTTCATGTGTGATTGTCAAAAAAGTTGTAGCTGATCACACATAGTGGTTGTCATTTACGAAGTATGAAGGATTACTGATTTATGAAATTTTTATAGTTGAGTGTTAAAGAGGAAACAGTATGAATACATGATGACGCATTAAACAGCTTTTAATAAATCACTTCTTTTTTGTTTTTGTTTTTAAATTAGTTTAAAGGAATAACATCAATTCAGACTCTAGCAGGATTATAAATACCTTGATTTTAAATCTGCTACAAATCACTCTGTCAATTTATGTGGTCTTAAAGCATGTATTTCTGCTTTTTAAAAAAAGTTTCTACACCATGTTACTGTGTTTTAGAGACTTAAACAATTGATACTGACCTATATATAATATCTTCAAATACTCTTACAAGGAAAATTATTTGGCTGATTTCTTCCACTAAATATTTCTCATTCGTTTACTAAATGTAAGTGAATAAACACTATTAACGTTTTAAGTATTTAACAAGAAATGCAAAAGAGCAATTTACAACAATAAAGGAGATGAGAAAGGAGACAGTTTAAAAGAGAAAATCGTAATCTTATATTTTGAAAGTTTACCATGACTGCTTAGGTGAATGGGCAATGGATGGAGGCAGGGAATGTGCTACATTTATAAGTAAATAAAAACAGCTTCTGATTAAAATTTGGGTGCTGTTTTTTCTTATTGGATTTTTTAAAACCCTACTTTTTGGTGCTTTTATCCAAGCTTTAAAAAAAAAAAGCGGTGACTGCGGTATTAAAATGCTTGAAGAACAAATATATGTCTTGATGAGTAGCAATGCAAAACGTAGATGTACAAGGAATTAAGAGCATTAAATGTAGTTTATTGCTTCACTTTCTGCTGCCTTTTAGAGGTATTTTCTCTTAGTTATATTTAATATTGGGTACTAAATGCATATGAATATTCTTACTTGCCTTTTAAGCAAAAACATTTAAATATTTTCATATTGATGTTACATCATTTCTTGTTTGGCTAACTAACTGTTCTTGGTTTTCAGCCTCTATGAAGAGTGAAATAACCAGTGAACTGGCTTCCTCATCAGGTGTATCAACAGCTGGGTCAGTAGTAAGTTCTGCCACCGATCCCACTGGACATGATATCATCACTGAACAGCCACGTTCACAGCATACTTTGCAATCAGACTCTGTAGACTTGTCCAGCTGTGATTTGACCAGTACAGCTACTGAAGGGGAAGAGGATGACGTGCTTAGCCGAAGTTCCAGCCAAATCAGTGCTGTGCAGTCAGACCCCACTATGGATTTAAATGATGGCACACAGGCTTCCTCACCAGTTAGTGATAGCTCTCAGACTACTACAGAAGGCCCAGATTCAGCTGTGACCCCTTCGGACAGTTCTGAAATTGTAAGTGTGCAACAGGCAGAGGGGGGATCCCTTTCTACTGAGGGGCCCGACATATCTCAGAGCTCTTCCATGGAGGGCCCAGACTTGGACACTTCTACTTACTCGTCTGCTACTTTTCCGTCCTCCGCTAATAATGCTGAAAAGGTCAGGAGCTCACGCCTGTAACAGAGAGCTTGACCTTGCTTTAGCACCTTTTCTGCAGCATTAATTACAAAAGAATGGCTTTCCTTGTAGAACTTGTTGAACACAAGGCTTTAAGATTTCACCCATCTGTGTAAAGTGTGCGAAAAGTTACTCATTTCATTGGAAGAATGTTGAGAGGTCTGCATGAATATCTTTTTCCACTTGCGCATTTTTTTAATAGAATAGTCCCTTAACATATTAAAATTTAAACCAAGAGTGTAAGCCAGTAGTGCTACTTGGAATAATAGATGAATACCTGTCAAGCCTGAGTGTTTCAACCTGATGCTTTGCATTGTTTAGCTTTTCACTCATTGCCTGTGCTTCCTTTCTTCTTCATAATCTAACTAGTTTTACTTCTTTTTTGTGTTAATGTTTGAATTTTATAATATATTGGCCAAACATTACTTGATTTGCATATGTAGCATGCATTGATGGAGTTAATCTTACTTCAGGAATATTATTTAATAGCAAGTGCTACAGTTACTTCACTGAGATCTTTTGAGTGACTGTTACTGCTGAAAAAAAATTCACTGTGGACGCTGAAAATTGTTTAGGAAATGGGATAAAGGGCAAAAAGAAAAGGTGCATGTTGATAGCACATCTGTGAACTTGTTGAAAGTAGCTTGGAAGAGTAAATGACCCATGGTGTCTAAAAATGTCTCATTTTGCAATGCTGACAGATGCTCCTTCACTAACATGAAGTCACTTGGGCATGTGAGGATACTGCTAATCTGATCAAAGCCTGACACTCACAATGCCAACTTGCATTAGCACTTGGCAGATCATGCAGGTCTTTATATAGGTTTGAGCCTCTCTCTTTCAGGTTCTCAGTAATGAGGTACTTGTCATTGGTAGTGATTGTCAAGCTTCAAAGTGAACACAGATGGGGATTGAGGCACATTAAGGTTTAAGGGCTAGATCTGTTAGAGAACTTTGCTTCCTAGCATCAGGAGCGGTATCCAGAACCCTGGGTAAGGGGCAGACTTGGTTTCCCTCTAGCATAAAGCGTCTGTAGGAGGTGAAGGTAGTGCCCCTTTTTATGTAATAGTCTAGTGGTTACAATTTCTGTCCAGGAACTGACAGACCACAGTTCAGTTTTCACCTCTGAGGGCACTAGTTTTGCATCTCCCACCTTCCTGGAGAGCAATTTAATAGCTAGGCTGGATGAGACACTCTCCAACCTTCCAGCTGAAACTCTACTACTTAAAATAATGCTAGACCTGAGGTCCTTGGAGGGTTTGACAGCTGAACACTTTGACTGATGTTATGACTTTTGGGGCAGGGATGGAGGTGAGCCTGAGGTGAAGGATCATTTAGGCTCACAACCATTGAGAAAGATGGGGGGAACTAAGCTGTAGCACAAGAGCTGCTAGACTTCAAGATAATCATTCAAGGTGGGTTGCTATGGTAGACTTGTGAGGTGACATGCTTACATGCTGGAAAAGGGAGAAATCAGAGGTATAGGGTCAGCATGCTGCTGTACGCTAACATGCATGAGGCTGATTTTTTGGTTGGAACTAATTCTGTATTACTAATATTGCATGCTTGTGATCTGATTGTACTTTTGCACAAATGGGAGCTTAGATGGGACTCTCTTAAAAGTCCACTCCTTATATACCGTAGGTTCTAGAAGGGGCTGAAAGCCAGTATTCTGGAATGCAGATTGGACAGCTGCAGGATGAGGAAGATGAGGCTGCAAACCTTCTCCCAGATGAATCTTCGGAGCCTTTCAGAAATTCATCCTTTGGTATGTTAAAAGGGGAAATTTTAACTACAAAACATGCATCTCATTAAAGCTAACCATACTGGTATCTCTCTCATACTTTCTGTGGAGACTGTGTCAGCAAGACACAAATATCATAAAAGCATTGTGATGAAAATATGAATTACTGTATTTTCTTGACTATAAGATGACACTGAATGTAAGATGACCTCTCAATTTAGAGTCTACGTATGGGAATTTCATAATTTTTTTATACTGTTCCAGGTATAGAATCTACTTATAGATTTCATAGGCATTAGGGCTGGAAGGAACCTCGCAAGATCATTGGGTCTAGCCCCCTGCCCAAAGAGCAGGAAAGTCAGCTGGGGTTAAATGATCCCAGCAAGATAAATATCCAAGTGTGTTTTGTTTTTTTTAAGGTATCCAGAGTAGGTGCTTGCACCACCTCTGGGGGGAGTCTATTCCAGGCTCTGCGGACTCTGACAGAAACAAAGTTTTTCCTTATGTCCAGTCTAAAATGGTCTTCCAGGAGTTTGTGACTATGGGACCTTGTCTTCCCTTGGGGTGCCCTGGTGAACAGATGTTCCCCAGTTCCCGATGCACACTCTTAATGTACTTATAGGCTGCCACCAAGTCGCCCCTGAGTCTGTGCTTTTCCAGGCTGAAGAGTCCCATGCCTCTCGGCCTCTCCTCCTAATGCCTGTTCTCTTGTCCTTCAGTCATTTGCATGGCTCTCCTCTGGAGTCTTTCAAACTTCTCCACTTCCTTTCTGAATTTCGGAGCCCAGAATTGGATACAGTATTCCAGCTGTGGCCTCACCAAGGCAGAGCAAATTGGGAGGATGACTTCCTGGGTCTTGCTTGAGATGCATCGGTAGATGCAAGCCAGAGTTTTGTTTGCTTTGCTGGCTGTGGTATCGCATTACTGGCCCATGTTAATCTTGTGGTAATCAAGTCTCTTTCGGTAGTGGTGCTAGCGAGTGTAGCATGGCCGAGCCTACAACTGTGGTGTGGGTTTTTTCTCCCAAGGTGGAGCACCTTGCATTTCTCTGTGTTGAATGCCATCAGGTTTTGATCTGCCCACCTACTTAATGAAGGTTTGCCTTGAATCTGTCCACCTCCCACTGCTAAAGCAAAGAAAATAAAACTGGGGAGTCAGGTAGCCAGCTTGCTCTCAGTCCCCTTTCCCCCTTCAAGCTCCTTACCCCTGAAGCCCCTTCCTCCTCTCCATACTGTCAGACCCTGTTCTCCTTGAGCACATGGAAGTGAAGAGCAAATTTAAAAACTCTTATCTTGAAATAAACAGACCTGCATATAGTACCCATAGACTTGGTTCATCCAGAATTGATTCCTTTTCTGAAACTGCTGCAAATTTTAACACAATATTCCATAAAAGTGATGCTTATGTATAGTACAAACTAGGTGTGGTATTAGCCCAAATCCAAAGGGCTTTTGATTTACCATATAGTTCATTGGACTGGGCCCCAGCAGAGTCGTCATCATTTCAAGCCGTGGTGACCCCACATCTCAGCACTGCTCAGTATGTGCGTGCACTCCAGACATCCCCTACAAAGGATCCATGTTCTAATTAGCCCCCCACTCATGAAAGAACAGGTTCTTGTCACGAGTCCTGGGATTCTTCAAAATGTATATGTAGCTGAGATGCAGTGCAACCTAGTCTGGCTACACCTCATGGAGGGCCAGGACCATACTAATCATATGCGACAGGCTGAGAGATGGGGTGACAGAGATTCTGGGTGAATTGTTGGAGCCCTGTTTGATGTTTGCCAGGCTTAAGACTTGTGAAGCTACAGGAATCACTGGAAATGGGAAAGAAAGCTGCAACTCATCTGTCAGAATGAAGAGGAAATTGAAATGTATACAGCCTCGACACAGGAGTCGAGGTAGATGTCTGTACTTTAAGAAGGCCTTCAATACAGTATTGCAGTCCATTATCGTAAATAAACTGGCAGGCTGTGATGTAGATGATTACATGGTCAGGTGGGTGGCAAATTGGCTTAGGGGTCGCACCCGGAGTGTGGTGGTGGATGGTTCAATGTTGACCTCTTACCATTACCCAGGTAATAGATGGGCCCGGATAGTTCTGGGATTAGGGGGGCGGTGCATACACTTTCAGGAGGCCTTAAATGCCTATACACTAATGCTCGTAGTATGGGGAACAAGCAGGAGGAACTTGGCCTCCTGCTAGCTAACACAAACCCAGACATCGCGGGGCTCACTGAAACGTGGTGGGATCCAACACATGACTGGGCGGTGAACATAAATGGCTATAGGCTGTACAGAAGGTACAGAGCACCACACCCCTGCCTTTCCTCCCTGTTTTATGTCAAAGAACAATTCACATCCTCAGCGAGCAGCACTGGGTCAGAGGAGGGGCAGACTGAAGTGCTCTGGGTCGGAATACAAGGGGGTCGGTGTAAAGGGACTTAAAGGTGGGGGGTCTACTACATACCACCCAGCCAGGGAGAAGAGCTAGACTGGGAATTCTCAGGTCAGCTTGTGGAGGCAGTTAAGTCAAAGGATGTGGTCATCATGGGTGACCTAAACTATCTGGACATTTGCTGGGAAGAGCAGTCGGCCAGGTCTGACCACTCACGTAGGTTCCTAGCAATGTTACAGGACCTCTATCTAACCCAGGAGGTGCATAGTCCCACCAGGGGAAATGCCTTGTTAGATGTGGTTCTGGCCACAAGCGACAACCTTTTGAGGGGACTGTGGGTGCTCGATCACCTGGGCAATAGTGATCATTGCCTACTGGAATTCACCATCCAGCGCAGAGTGGCAAAGGCCTGCAGCAAGACAGCAGCCCTGGACTTCAGGAGGGCGGATTTCATTGAGCTAAGGAGGCTAGTCGGGGAGGCACTGAGGTCCTGGAGGGGTGGGGAGTTGGGAGTCCAAAAAAAGTGGTCATTCCTGATCCTCCAAGCCCAAAGGGTGGCAATCCCAACACGGATCAAAGGGGGCAAGAGTTCTCAAAAGCCCCCATGGCTAACCAAAAGCATCCAGGAACGTCTCAAAGCTAAAAAGGAGGCATATACCCAATGTAAGGGAGGGGCCATCACTGGGGAGGACTATAATCTTTGTTGCTCGAGATTGTAGGGGGGCTGTTATGAAGGCCAAGGTGGAGATGGAACTGGGACTAGCAACCCAGATCAAGGATAACGAGAAATCCTTTTTTAAATACATACGGGGTAAAAAGAAGGTTCCAGGTAATGTGGGGTCTCTGCAGAAGATGCTAGGAAAGCTGGTGGTCTCACCAGACGACAAAGCCAACCTATTTAGCAGTTTCCTTGCCTCCATTTTTATGAGCAGGGGCCAGGTCATTCCTCTCACGGGAATCCCTGATGGTCCTAGGGGAGGCACAGCCAAGCCCAGGGGCAGAGAGGACCTAGTTAGAGAACTTCTGGTGGGACTGGACATGTTCAAATCAGCAGGTCCTGATGATCTCTACCCCAGAGTGCTGAGGGAATTAGCAGAGGTCATTGCAGGACCCCTGGCACAGCTTTA